AATATGGTGTTACATTAAAAGAAAATTGTGCCAACTAAAGATAAAAAGTAAAAATTTTAGAGGACCATAAAAGTAGGAGTGCTTCCACAGGTTTAAAGGTTATTTTTTTCTTCTAGATGTGGAAAAGGAAAAGCCTTATTCTCTAATGTTAAAAATAGTTAATCAATCTATATCATTTCTCATGACAAAGTAACATGAATATCTTTTCTCCGGAATATTCTGCTCTGAAATAGAATATGCCTTTTCAGTTGTGTCCATTGACCTCGAACCTTACAAATGCCTCACATCAGAGAGTCCTGCCAACATGTGAGTTCCCCGAATCATACATACACATACTTAAGAAGGGTGCTTAAAACCACTAAATTTTCCTAAAATGTGTTACTGGTGACCAGTGATTTTTATTAACAGTAGATCCAGAAAGCTGGGACTTCAACTATACTACTAAGGTGATTAAAAATAAAAACACCCTCAAATTGAATAACAGGTCCACCATGATTACCAGATCCAGGGGTTGCCTACCTGAATGTTTTACCTGGAGTTCAATGTCATAGCAAATTAGTAACCATATTTGGTTGTTGAAACCATATACCCAATACAAATGTCTATTTAAGCTTGAATGTAGGATTCAAAGATGATAAAACAAACAAGAGGATCTATAAGATTAGAAGAAACAATTTAATGCAAAACGCTAGCTTCTCTCTCATTCTTCCTAGCCTCTTGAAAATAATGTTTTAAAAAAGCTAAAACTAGGCCAGGTGTGGTGGCTCACACCTGTAATTCCAGCACTCTGGGAGGCCAAGGCAGGAGGATCACTTGAGCTTAGGAGTTTGAGACCAGCCTGAGCAAGAGGAAGATTCTGTCTCTACTAAAACTAGAAAAATTAGCAGGGCATCATGGCACACGCCTATAGTCGGAGCTACTCGGGAGGCTGAAGCAGGAGGATTGCTTAAGCCCAGAAGTTTGAGGTTGCAGTGAGTTACAATAACACCACTGCACTCTACACAGGGTGACAGAGTCAGACTCAATCAATCAACCAATAAATAAATAAGCTAAAACTAAACACAATAAGCTAAACCATTTTATACAACTTTATATTGTATACATTTTATCTCAAAGAAATAATAAAATATCTTTGTATACAAACAATACTTTAACCTGAATTCCTGAACAGTTTCTCCTAGAAAGAAGGAAAAAAATGTTGAAACCCACGACTTGAAGAGTTTATGAGTTTTCACACTATTCTTTTTCATTTCCAGGCACAAAAGTAGAAAACAAGAGTGAATGCCTTTTCACAAATCACATCTTTATTCTCATAATCCTAAAAATTACTAACCAAGAGTGGGAGCATAGCTGGGAACACCGGGCATCGGGTGTTGGAAAACCTGGATTCGCACTGTGGCTGCAGACTATTAGCCTGTGTGATCTCAGAGTGGCACTCCCTCCCTTGATCTCAAGATTGGGACAGTACAAACGATTCCTCCTGCAGCTGTTCATCTTTCTGTGGGTGTCCTCTGCAGAGCCACGTGTCTTGCATGGGGCTGGGTTGACCCCTCCAACTCCCCCCTGCCATTGTCCTGCTGCTCCAGAGGTGAGCACTTCATCCTGACGACCGGCTCCCTTACCCGGGCTTCTGCTGGGGCTACCCGGACATCTCTCTGCCAGGATGGTTAAACTCCAGACTCCTGGAGCCAATAAATTCCCTTTTTGGTTTTCAGTTTGTTTTTCTATCATGTACACCTGAAAGAATCCTGAATAAAATAGTCCCAAGGTTGTGACTAAGGGGAATGAAGGTAAAAAGTGAAAATATTGTTATAATTAAATATTAGAGCTGGAAAGAATCACTGAGGTTACCAGATTCTATGCCAGCCCCCAAAAGATATAAATTTAAATCAGATATCTAAGGTCACAAGGATATTTAATGGCAAAAACAGAGCCGGGAACCCCTTCTTCCCTTTCTGAATTTTAATATCCCAGGTACCTCAGTTTTAAAACACTTAACTAGCTACTAGCTATGGGCTAAGGAGACAGGGTGAAATTTAAAAACTGCCAAGGAGATTTCCGGTTTTCCAGAAATAGAAGCCCACCGTGGCACAAATTTCACGTGATCTAAAGTTAATGAGAGCTAAAATGCTTTGGCTGTGGATTTCCCAGAAAAGGGAAGTAACAGATCTCCCAAGACACTAATGAGCTAACATTAGCAGGAGAACAAGCAATCCAACAAAGAGAAAGAAGTGCAAGGATATCTGTGCAAATTTTTGTAAATCTCGTGAAGACTTAAAATGTTATTCACATCCACTAATGTTAGTTCTTAGAGGAGAAAACTGTTCAAAGGCACATCCTAATGGCCTCTTAGAAAATTACAACGAAATGGATTTTTTAATAAACTAGAGCCTTGAATCATTTATAGAACCTATATTGATCGGGAGTTACTTTTATTTCTGTTTGTATGGTGGGCTGAAACCAAAACTTTTTCTTTATACTCATGCTCATTTTAATAACCCTTTGCAGTTAGACATAAATCTGGCAGGACCACCTGAGCCCTAATTAACAGTTTTACTGCAAGACATAAGATATTAGGGTAATCGATTCCTTCTGTCAAGCTCCAGATGTGCCAACTATCATTTTAATACTTTTTTCTTAGATGTATACCAGCTTATTTTTCTTCTCCATTTAAAAAAAAAAAAAAACCTCAACACAAAAAACAAAAATTATACATAGAAAGCACCATTCTGCAGCTGGAACTCTATTTAATTAGGCCCGTGGTTAATGGTTCTGCAGTTTATCACTTCCTAACTTCACAATAATAAGGTTACCTTTTTCTGACAGCCGTTGACTCATTAATGCATTCTATTTATGAAACATATGCTGTGATTTAGAAACAGCAGGGGCCACGCTTGTCCTTGCTCACTAGTGTATCCTCTGTATCTAGCACATAGTAGCTGCTCAGCTAGAATCTGATAAAGGAATAAATGAATACAATATCTACGATTTAGGCTCCATTTTACCTTGTCATTGTTATTTTTCATCCACTCTCAATGGCAACTCACAGATTGAGAATGTAGGATGAAACAGGTGGGTATCTCTAATATTTCCATATTTGGATTCTTTGAATATAGTAATATATATCGTGTTGGCTATTTTTAACCCTGGATTGGTTCTCAACTTTGTTGTGGTTTGCGGGGTGTGAGAAAGAAATGTCTGTTTTTTCCCAAAACAATCTTCTTCATTTATATTACTTTTCTAATCAGAAAACATATTTAATTAAAGTTAGGACAAAATAAGAATGCCAACTATCATTGATATTATTCAACCTCATATTTCAGGGTTCTAACTAATGAAATAATATGGGAAAAAAAGTTCATATGGATTGATAAGATAGAGACAAAGTAGTCATCACTGATAGATGATGAGTTTGTCCATGTAGAAAATCCAAGATAAGTTTAAAATGAGGTATTGGAATTCCTTTGAGTTCTACACATTTATAAGACACAAAATCAAGAGTTCTCATAAATCAAAAAAAAAAAAAAGCCAACTAGAGGAAATAATAGATATAGGTATGGATAAACTGATTCTGAGGTTTATCTGGAGAGGGAGAAGACTCAAGATAGTCAACACAATATTGAAAGAGAGGAGCAAAGTTGGAGGACTGACATTACCTGATTCCAATACTTACTACAAAGCTTTATTGTATTGGTGAAAGAATAGACAAACAGATCAATGGAAAAGCAGTGTATATGAGAGCTCCCCTTTCTCCACATCCTTACCAGCATCTGTTACATTTTGTCTTTTTGATAATGGCCATTGTAACCGAAGTGAGCTGCTGCCTGACTGTAGTTTTGATTTGCATTTCCTTCCTACGATCTTTATATTGATGTCCTTTCTCCATATTAGCTCCCACCTCTGCACTAATGCTGCTCTCTGAGAAGCCCTGTGCATGCCGCCCTCCACTCAACACCCCAGACTGCTGCTCTGTGCATCTTCCTCTCCACCACCCTTATGACATCCAGTCTCTGTGTCTTCAAAATCTGCCAAACCAACAGAAGAGAGTACAGTGAATACAATAAGCTAATTTGCACCAAGATGTGTTTGATTGAAATAGTAACTGACAGAAATGCAACTTCTTAAGAGTTTCTAACTGGAAAAAGAAAGATGTAAAATATATGGTTCATTCTTGAGACATTTCTGTTCCATTTATTTCTTCAAGTTTTGTTATCATTTTGATTTTGTCACAGTCTTTCCACCTGAAAAGTCTTATTCTAGTTTAACATTATCCAAGAAGTAATTCCCTTCTGATTTTCATTCCCTTCAGCCCTGACCACCTCCCTCTGAACAGGGAGGAACAGCAAAGAATGTCTCCTTCTGACATTCCTACTCTCTCATCAAGCAGTTTTCTACTTCAGTGAGTCTCCATTTCATATTGAATTCCATCATGGTGTGTTCTTTTCTCCTTTAAAATGTATTTGAAAACCCCCTTTTCCTTTCCACATATTCCACAGATTGTATCCTACAGGTATGAGGAATCAGACCCATAAATTGGTCCTATGAAAAAATCTTTGCTTTGAAATATCACTACACAAATTGTTTTTAGAAGAAACTACTTTGAGAGAAAAAAAAAAAGCCTTAAAAAAAGACCACCTCTATAGTATTCGTTGTCCTCTACCATTAAGATACATAATACAAGGTGGTTTGCTTGTTTTTATCATGTACTTAGATCCTTTTCATAGTTGCAGTGGACTACATATTTTTAATTTTAAATTTCATTTTTTCTTCAAATCTAGGATAAATTGAGCAAAACAGTGAAATTTTACCTTACAGAACTATATATAAGATCCTGTGCTATTTCGGTCATAGAATAAATGATCTTAAAAACAAATGGTGATACTTCTTTGCATTCTACACTACAGTTTCCTGAGATACACTCAACTGCACACTACCAGATGATATGAGAAATATCCCCAAAGAATTAAAATCTTCCTCCAGCTCCATAATAGACTACTCACCGGACTTCCTTGCTTTCAAAGCAATAACAGCTGCGAGTTCTCTCTGCACCTAATAAAATATTAGAGGGAAAAATCAAATTACAAAAAGAAAGCAGTAGCTATTAAAAACTGCACTTTGTTTTCATTAATAGATACACAATCCAAATTAAGAGCTGTCGCAATTAAACCTAGGTTTGCTGCCATCACTTTTTTGGGTTTTGCTTGGTTTTAGTACATGGAAAAACCTCAGCATAGGAATTTTAGGCAAAAAAATCTAGAATAATCTATTGAGTTACTTTTTAAAAAGTTAGACAGTTGTCAAAATGTATACATTGTAAAACATTAGTATATATGCCATGATGGGAAGTAACTCAAAAACATAACTATATAACATTCATATATAATGTAAATATGAATTAAATTAAAATATACATGATACTATAACCCAAATATTAAATATTATTTATCCCACAAAGATGCTAGTTTATACGGAAATTCTAGCAAAGTTGAGGTAGGCAATCCCGGCTCTGCTCAAGCACAATGAATGTTCACTGTGAGCCTGACAGGTTTACAGCAACCATCTTGCATAACATGCCACATAAAAGCAAGTGTCATCAAGTCACATGGCAGGTGAAACGGGAATGGACTAGATGACTTTTAAAACCCTAAATGTCTTAAATACCACTTAGTTGTCCAAACTTTTTAGTGCTTACACATCCTCTCACCCTTCCCATTTGGAAGGCTTAAATCCTTCCTTGAAAACATTCTCAAAGACGAACATGAAACAGTGACAAAAAAGATAGTCACTTTTAAAGATAACGTGAGGATAATCTTTGGGAAGTCTATGTTTGGTAGCAATAAAAATTCCATAATGAGAAAGCTCCTTCCCCTTCAGGACACAGACGCTGCCTTAGGCTGAGAAGTTTGTGTGCTCAGGTGTTTGGAGGTGGTGATATTAGGTGAGAGGTCTGAGAGGGTCACGCCCCTGAATATATTGATGACACTTTAAAGAAAGAGCAGGGGGGTTCAAGTGCAGTTTTCTATTTAAATTAATTTAATTTCTATTCATTTACTGGAAGGTGAGAGTAACAATGTGCTAGACCCTGAGACTCCACCCAGGACTGCTTTGCCAAGGGCCAGATATCACCTGAAGAAGGCAGCTTGCCCCAGGTACGGTGCTTCCCCTGATGGGCTAGTGTGAATGCCATTCAAAGCTGCACACTCTTGATTTAGCTGATTCTTTGATACGGTAAGACTCTCTCTCAGGAAAATTATAGAATAGTGAGAAGAGAATGAGTCCCTCTCCAACCTTGGGAGTTGGGGCTCTGAAAATGCTCATAGCTGGAAAGTTTACAGTTAAAGAACTTAGGGGGAAAAGAGGACTGTGGCAAATACAAGTGATGAGTGACCATAGGAAGGGCTTTGTAAGTACTTGTATGTGTACTCAAATAAATAAAAAAGCAATAAAGTAAAAATATCAATTATTGCATATTTTATATATTTTAAGTCGTTTGTAAAGTTTATCACTTTAGGTATCATATTACCATCTCTTTTTAGGATTTTCCTCCTTCACAGTGTCACAAATATTTGGGGGTGGGTCAAAGATACAGATTATAAACATTCACTGGGACCTTGTCAATGGCTTCCCAATGCTTAGACCTCACAGGGAAGACTCCACCATGGTTCACAGATAGGAAGAAAGCAGAGATGGAAAATGATGCATGAGGTACATCACTTAATTTGCTCACTGAGGATCAAAAACAGTCATCTCCATTATCCTCTTTCAATTTTCCATATCTGAATTCCCTATACAGCTGTGGTCCCCAGCCCTCGGTGGAGGACCAGTACTGGTCCGTGGCCTGTTAGGAACCAGGTCACACAGCAGGAGGTAAGTGGTGGGCGAGTAAGTGAAGCTTCATCTGTATTTATAGCTGCTCCCCATCACTTGCATCACCACAAAAGCTCCCCCTCCTGTCAGATCAGCCGCTGAGTTAGAGTCTCATAGGAGCAAGAACCCTACCGTAAATTGTGCATGGGAAGGATCTAGGTTGCGTGCTCTTTATGAGAATCTAATGTCTGATGATCCGAGGTGGAGGTGAGGTGGTGATGCTAGCACTGGGGAGCAGCTGCAAATACAGATTCACATTAGCAGATAGTTTTGACTATACGGTAAATGTAGTGCTTGAATCATCCCAAAACCATCCCCCCCATCCCCAGTCCATGGAAAAATTGTCTTCCATGAAACTGGTCCCTGGTGCCAAAAAGGCTGGGGACCGCGCTATACAGGATCCTCAGGTTTTCCTTCTCCAATGAGAAATAATGCTCCAAATATAAATAGCTCAGAAAAGGAAGGTGTTATATTCCCACCTAGGTATAACACTACATCTCTTCAAAGATTTGATAGGGAAAGAAAGGGAGGAATAGGATGAGCAAGAAAACAATGGAGCATTTTGGGGGGGCCAGGAAGGTGAGAGATGGCCAGCAAGAAGAATTTCACAGTTTAATTTAGATGGAACCTAAGTGCCTTTTTGACATAAAATAAATGAGATTACTCTACTATACTACAGCCCTTGAACCTCTGCAGTGGGAGGATATGAGTGTTTTATGCGGGGTGGGATATAGACTAGCTTCCATGTTTCTGCCATAGGAGGGAAAAGATTTTTGACAAAAACGCCAAAAGTAGGATAGACTTCCTACAAAACACAAGGGAAAAGAAAGTGCTGATTAAGCAAAAAAAAAAAAAAAAAAATGCAGTGAGATCCCATTATATGCTTCTATAGCATCTTCATGGTTCTTTTTTGTTTTTTAAATGCACTAGCAATTATTTAATTAATCATTTAAAATTGTGGGACTAATGTTTATCTGTTGGCTGGAAGCTCCATGGAGACAGGGGCCTGTCTTTTCTTCTCCTCACCCAGGGTAATTGACATCATTCATTCATTGACACACAAGAGGTGGATACAGAGGCAACCCTTTAGAGAATACAGAAAGAATATAGGGGAGAGAAAAACCTCCTGAGGGAGGACAACGAAAACTCAAAGAGAAGGCATTCCCCTGGTCATAAGATACCCCCAGTCGAAATCTTCAGAACACTAAGTTAGAAGGACTCAAAGCCTCCTTTGCAAATAATTGTTAGGTTTATAATGAAAACTAAAACTCTGAGCAATTGCATAAACAGAGACTACAATTTTGTTTATGTACTAATAAGAGACCTGTTGGCACTGGAAAAGAAATACCAACTTCAGCGCCAGTTGCCCTTCAAATGACTGAGGTCCTGGCTGCCATTCTGACCACAACCCCCCGAGACACCCTGAGCTGGAACCACCAGCTAAGATGCTCCTGAATTCCTGATGTAATAAATACGTGTTGTTTCAAATCTCTAGATTCTGGGGTAGTTTGTTATGCTGAAGAATCTTTTATAGGCCAGTGATTTTCTATCTATCTACTTACGTCATCGGTTAGCCTGAGTGTCTCTCACCATGTCTGAAATGGAACCACCTTCTCAGATTAGGCTCGAGAAATATTTCAAACATAGTAGAACCATGTTCTGATATTGGCAATTGTTTCTGTCCAGTAAGATTGCTCAACCACTGCCTAGGTAATTAGAAAAAATGCATTGTTTCTAATCTGACAGGAAGAGTAAATTATTATCTTGGATTTTCCTATCATAACTCTTCCCTGCTATGGTCTATAACTCCTTTTCTGAACCCCCTGGGGTTAGATGTATTTTAGAATTCAAAATTTTATATAGTTCAAAAAGGTATCCTTTCTACATCATACCCTCAGTGAGGTCGGTCTGTAGCAACTTGTAATCAGACATGTTAATATTTCTGCAATGAAATATATGATGATTCGTGCTAAATGGGATAAAGGAAGACTAGGAAAAGCCTCAGGTTTTGCCACCAAATATGTTCACTTTTGGTTAGATTTTGCCACCAAGTTATTTATGAAAAACTTTTTGTTTCTCAGAGCTTTTCTATTTCAGAACTATGAATAAAGAATTGTGAACCTCTATTAATTTCACACTGGAAGTTTCTCTTCCTCATCTACTCATGTTTTCTTTTCTCCAATTGCCTTTTAATCACTACTTTTTGTCTACTAAGAAATGCTCTTTTAAAATAGCTGAGATTTGCATCTATTTCAGCAGTTCTCAAACCTAACTGCACATTAGAATCAACTGGATAGGCTTAAAAAAATACTGATACTTGGGCCCCAACCAAATCCGAATCTCTGGGGGAGAGATCCAGGCATCAGTTTCTGTTGTCTCTGAGCTTCCTCTGTGATTGTAGGTTGCATCCAGGGTGAAGAACCACTGCTCTATTCAACAAAATAGCTTAGTTTCCCCAGACTCAGAAACATACCCTAAGATTATACTTCAATCTTATAATCATGTCAACCGACAATGAATCTTTACTTTTTATTTTGTTCTCCTCTAATTTAATTCATTTGTAAGGGAACATGGCCTTCGCTGTTTAAGATATACAATAAAAAAAAAAATCAAGCTATAATCCAATCAACTGATAAGATTCACTTACTGCAACAGCAGTTTGATAAACAGGATCTACTCAAGTACAAGGAAAATTACAAGAAAGCTTTTTAAGAAGTTTCAACTTTAATTTAAAATATAGTTCACTCAATATAAAAAAAAACTATATAATTCAAAACACATGCAGCTGAGGGTTATATTTGCCTTGGGAATATCTAAATAGAGGATGATCAAGGGACTGATAAAACATATCCCCAAGTCTTCCCTCTCCCCTGGTTAGCCATCAGAAACTAGAGTCAGAAACATGTTGAAATGTTTTGGCTTTCTATTTTCAATAACCAGCATGGCTGTTCACAAAACAGCCTTCACATTCAGTAAGAATCAGAGCCAGTCTTACGTCCAGTATTCTGTCTTCTTTTTGTTGCTGGCACTTTAATAGCGCCTTCTGCCTCAAAAACCAAATGCTCACAAAGCTGTTTTGCATCAAAGCCAAGACTCAAGAGTCAACAGAAAGCATCAAATGCAAACTCTGAGTGCCAGAGAGCATCTCCGTGGGAGAGGTTAACTGAGAAGACATGCACAGC